AGCGCGGCGGGTCATGGAAACACTCGGTAGCATCACCCCCTGACTAAGGGCCAACTTCAGTGTGCAGCCCACTCAGCACATGTGGCCTTTTGCAATTAAACATTGAGACTGGTCACGGTGGCTCGTGCCTATAATCCCAGCACTTTGGGAGGCCGAGGTGAGAGGATTCAAGACCAGCCTGGGCAATTTGGCGAGACCTCATCTCTACAATAAATCAAAAAATTAGCCAGGCATTGTGGCGTGTGCCTGTAGTTCCAGTTACTTGGAAGGCTGAGGAGGAAGGATCACCTGAGCCCAGCAGGTTGAAGCTGTAGTGGCCATGAGCCACTGCACTCTAGCCTGGATGAAAGAGTGGACTCCAACTCAAAAAAAAACCAACAAAAACCCAACAACAACGTTGAACATCCAGTTCTTCAGCTGCACCAAGTCCAGGGGCAGACAGAACGTTTCTATCTTTGCGGAAAATCTATCAGACAGCAGCAGCCTGGAGAGATCACATTGTGCTGCCTCCACTTCCCTGTCTATAAAGAGGCTTCTCCTAGGTCACCCCGAGGGTTCCAGAGAGTGAAAAGACCCCACCTAGTGCAGACATTTCCACCCCATACCTAAGGAACCCCATACCCTGCGGGGAGTCGGCAACCCAGCTCAAAGGGGGAGGCATGTGTGTCTGCCCCGGAACCCAAGAGATGCACGTTTGCCTCTTGGTCAGCTGCTAGTGCAGCCAGAAAGGCCTCGAAGGAGACCAGAAGGGCTGAGGGCTGGCACTGTGGAAAGGTGAGGGCTGGCTGGGGGAGGCTTAAGAGAAGGCACAGAGGTCGGCGCAGCTGGAGGAAGATCGACCCCCACTCGGCGATGGCCTTCAGCCTGGGTCAGATGCTGGCAGCCGATGGATAGAAGGAAATACTGACCTGGCCGGTCTAACCTCCCCAGGCTTATCTGAAAGGCGGAATGGAGGTAGTGTTTGCAGACCAGGATGGGGAAGCTGAGCACGCCAAGGGGATGCTGGTATCAGCCCCCATCATGAGCCCTCCGATCCCTGGTGGGGCACACCCAAGCCCTGCCTGATGCCTCCACCACTGAAGAACTCACGGCTTCCCGGGGAGGCCCAGCCTGCACTGGACAGAAAACCTCTACTGCCCTGAAGGAAAGGTTGTCTCCCCGCAATGTCTAAGCAGTAGATGCCTTTCTGTTCAAGGCAGATCCTGGGGCAAGGAGTCCTCAGGCTTAGAAGTCACAAATACATGATGAAAGACAAACTGATAAAAGGCAAAATCACTTCTCCGTTTTTTAAAAAGTGACATCAAACAGACACAGACAAAAATGATTCATCATAGCTGGGTATGGTGACCCACACTTGTAGTCCCAGCTACTCAGGAGGCTCATGTCTAAGGATCGCTTGAGCCCAGGAGTTCCAGGCTGCAATGAGCTATGATCGCACCTGTGAATAGTCCTTGCACTCCAGCCTGGGCAACAGAGCAAGATCCCATCTCAAAAAAAAAAAAAAAAAAAAAGAAAAGAAAAGCATCACACTACCAGAGACATAACAGTGTGCTGGTTTTAATACCTCGAAGAAAAAAAATGCCTGAATTTGTTTCTTCCCCAGACCTTCCCAGCACGCCAGTGAGGTGGCCATGTTTTAAAGGATGTGTAAGACACACTGGGGATAATGCATCCAGAACAGAGAAACTCCAGATGTGGTTCGGTGATCATGGGGGCAGGGCAGGGTGGACAGTATGTTAAAAGCACAGGGCCCTGTAACTGCTGCAGAACCCCACTTAGGGGAGGTCCCCAGAACAGGCTGATGCACAGAAAACAGAAGGCAGAGTGGGGGTTCCCAGGGGCTGGGGGAGGGGGCTGGGGATTTACTGTTCAAGGCGCAGTTTCCCTTTGTGGTGATGAAAAAGTTCTGGGAATGGATAGTGGTGATTGTCCAACACTGTGACTACTCAATGCTACTGAACTGGACATCTAAACGTGGTTAAACGGCAAATTTTATGTTATGTATATTTCACCCCAAAAATAAAATGCAAAAAAAAAAAGCACAGGGTCTGGAACTCCACCCGGGACCTACTGAATCAATCTCTGAGATGGGCCCGGGAATCTGCATTTGAGCCCATGCTGTCAGGCCACAGCTTCGTGTAGGTCTCCCATGTAGGGGAGGCCACGGGCAGAGTCTCCCCCCGCCCCCACCATCCAGGCCCCATGGCTTCCAGGCCTCATGGCTTCCTGCCCCATGGGACAGTAAGTCAACAGAAACATCCCTGCGTGGCTCTCTGCTGCTTGGCTGACACAGGTGAGAGGTGCCAAGAGGAAGGGCAAAGCAGCACTCAGCTGACCGGGTCTGGGTGTGAAAAGCATCAGGGCCACAACAGAAGGGACCCAAGAGGGGCGGGAAGGACTGAAAGAGGTCCCTCTGGCGGTTCTGGACACCAAGTCCTAAGAATCCTGGTGAATCACAGGACGAGAGTTTGGTCTCCTCTGTCCCCTCAGCACCCGGCCCAGGGTCTGGCGCCTCCGTGAAGCTCCAGGAGCCAGGAATTCTGGGAGAAGGAGAGGTATGGGAATGTTGGTGGCAGCTAGGGAGGACTGGGCGTCTAAGCAACAGCCAACAGTGGCTGCTCTCACCACAGGACAGTTCTGTGAGTGCGAAAGACTGAGAAATGCATGTGCCTCTTTCTACTAGATTCTGGAAACACACGTGCCAGGGCAAAGGTTGGCAGAGAAAGGAAAAAGCAAGATTTAACCAGGATGTCCATCTACCTCACTGTCCACCTTGGGACAACAGTGGCAGGGAAAAGGATGCTGCAAATACCAATGCCAGGATGCAGGGGTTAGACCAGTGTAGATCTCTGAGTTTCTTACTCTAAAACTGGCCGGGTGCGGTGGCTCACGCCTGTCATCCCAGCACTTTGGGAGGCAGAGGTGAGAGGACTGCCTGAGTCCACGGGCTCAAGATCAGCCCGGGCAACTTGGTGAGACTTTGTCTCTACAGTAAATCAAAAACTTAGCCGGGCGTGCTGGTATGCGCCTACAGTTCCAGCTACTTGGAAGGCTGAGGTGAACAGATCGTCTGAGCCCAGCAAGTCAAGGCTGGGGTGGCTGTGAGCCTGTCACTGCACTCCAGCCTGGACGACAGAGTGAGAGACTCTGACTCAACAACCACAACAAAAATTAACCCAGGCCAGGTGTGGTGTCTCACATCTGTAATCCCAGCACTTTGGAGGCCAAGGTGGGAGGACTGCTTGAGCCCAGTAGCTCAACATCAGCCTGGGCAACATACTTTGTCCCTACAAAACATATGAAAATTAGCTGGGTGTGGTGGCTTGTGCTTGTAGTCCCAGCTACTCAGGAGGCTAAGGTGGAAGGATCCCCTGAGCCTGGGAGGTTGAAGCTGTGGTGAACTGTAATCACGCCACTGCACTCCAGTCTGGGTGACAGAATGAGACTCCAGTTCAAAAACATACATAAAATTAACCCAGTCCCAGAAACACAAAAAGCAGAGGTTCTCCAAGTCTGACCTGTGGGTGAGGGAGCCTGAGAATCTATATATTAGCAAGCACCCCAGACCACAGTGGTCTCTAGTCTGAGACACCCCCTTGAGTGGGTCAGTGGGGGTTAGGGAAGAGGGTAGAGAGTGAAGACACTCCTGTGCCTTTTTTTTTTTTTTTTGAGTTGGAGTCTCACTCTGTCGCCCGGACTGGAGTGCAGCGGCTGCTCCCGGCCAAGGCAGCCTCCACATGCTGGGCTCCGGCGATCCTTCCGCCTCAGCCTTCCAAGTAGCCGGAATTACAGGCGCGCGCTACCTCGCCCGGCTGATTTTTTGATTTATTGTAGAGATGAAGTCTCACTGCCCAGGCGGGTCTCGAACCCGTGGGCTCAGGCAATCCACTCACCTCAGCCTCCCAAAGGCGCGGGATTACAAGCTGAGCCACCGAACCTGGCTACTCCTGTGCCTTTACAAGGTCCCACCCCTGACCCTGGAAGCCACCCCACGTGACATCTTGGAGTATGATCTTTCCCCTGTCCCAGGTCTGTTTCCTCAACTTGTAGAGGAAGGAAGTTGACCCCAACCTTGCTGAGATGTTTCTCTCTCAGCACTCTGCATTCTAGGTCCCCAAATAGCCAAGATAGTACCTCCCATGGGGAACCAGCCCACCTCTTTGGATTCTGGGTGGAGCAGAGTCTCCTGGAGACAGAGCCCAGGGGCCACTCTGGGCCCCAGACACCCTCACTCCCAACACCCTTGGCTGATTGGAAGCCAGCATGCCAAAGATGCCAGGGAGAAGATCCCATGGCTGTCAGCATGTCAGCCTCTGCTCAGCCTTGTGAGCCTGGGGAATTGTCAGCTGACAAGGAGACTGCCGAGAAGGACAGTCCCGAGGCAGACAACACGGATCCTGGGACGGCCACTTTCTACACCCTGCATGGCCTCTTGAGGCCTCAGTGTCTCACCTGTGGGATGGGGAGAATGCCAGCTGCCTTCAGGATTGCAGGGAGCAGAGCGCCTGAGTCCCTGGCTGGCCCCGAGTGAGTGACCCTTCAACCCAACAGGACCTGACTGAGCTAAAATCCACATTCTCCCTTGTCCGGGCACACAGAACTTCAAAGTTGGGAGCACCCTGGCAAGGCTCCCGTGAGGGGAGAGAATGAGGCATCCAGGAAACAGCAGCTGTTGTTTTTACTTCTCTCCAAGCCCCTAGGGAGAGTTTTCTGAAACTTCTGTACAATTAAAAGGTACTGAACACACTCAATGCCTGTGATAAAGTTACAGCCCAAATGAGCTAGGAGCCTGAGCCTGCTTCCAAATCTGGGTGGCAACAAGACAGAGCCATGGACACCTGGAGATCAGCCACCAGGTGCCAGGTGTCCCCTGCACAGTCTCCAAAGTCCAGCACGTAGACCGAGGTCTGCCGCCACACGGTGCCCACCAGCTCCCCGGTCCTCAGCCCAGACTTAGTGCCACCCAGGTCAGAGTGAGGATACCAGGCTAAGTCACTTACCTGTTGTACCCTTCTGGCTGTGATTTTTCTCCAAACTGGGGCCTGCTGTAGCACCTGATGGGTTGGTGCCATTCGCCGGGGCTCCGAGGAGTCGCCACAATCGGCGTCCTCTAGCTGGCCTCTCTGGAAGGCCTCCCAACAGCAGACGAGAGAAAGCCTGAAATTCCCACCTTCGTGGAAGCTGCCCCAAGGGATGTGGAGGGGGTGGTCCTTGTGAACACGAGGTGCCCCCCACCATCCCTGTGCCTGACAGGCCCTCATCTGATGCCCACAATGCAAAATTCATTTATGGAGAGTGAATCCACAAAAGCAGCTCCCCACACGCACACACCTGATCACCACGCTCGCCTCTGTGTTTACAGCCCTAGTGACTCACAGCAAACACGGGATCCCCACAGCGACAGCTCTGGCCAGCTCTAATGACATGTGGGGTGTGCTTATCTGTTGGGGCTGGCATGTTTATGCGCCCACGTACCTGACATCTTTGTCAACCTGCTGCGTTATGGACGAGAGAGGCTAACTCCAGAGTCGTGGGTGCGATTTTCCCCTTGGGGTGATTTTTAAAAGAGCAAACTCTTCTTTCTGAGTGGCTGGAGGGTCCTGGCAAATTGTCCAGTTAACTCAACCGGAATATCACAAAAAACATAAGGGTGCTCATGGCCACGACAGAGATTTCTGGGTAACTTCGAAGCCCAAGTACGCAGCTAGAAATCCTTCCGAGTCACCTGTCTGAGCAAATCCCAACATTTCAATCTTCAAGAATTAAAAAGAAATATATACATATATATAAATAGTTTACACACGCTTCAAACTCTTTGGACGCTGGATAAATGGGAATCCCCCTTCTGGGGCCCGACAGCATCAGGCCCCACAGGTACAAAGGATACTGATCACAGATTCCTAACCAACATCTATCACCTCTGAGGTAGATAATGCAATCCCCATTTCACAGAAGGGTAAACCGTGGCTGAGGAAGTTAAATAACTTGCTTGGGGGCACACATCTAGTAAGGAGCAGAGGTGATAAATTCAAAGCAGCATGTGTTTGATTCCAAAGCTGAGTCCCTGTACCCACCATAGTGTGCCACAAGCCCTGGCAGGAGGAAGTTCAGCCCATCACACTGAAGCTTAACACAGGGTGGAGGTGCCAGGCCACAGGTTCAGACTCCTCAGGGAAACCAATGCAAGCAGTGGCTGTCACTCTTGATTATCTAGGAAAGCCAAGTTCCCCACTCCCTCCATCCCACTTGGCCAGCAGAAGGATGCTCACGGGACACCCACCAATGGGTCCCAGCAGGCAGCTTCCTAAAACATCTCCAATTCCAAAGAGGAGAGATTTCACCTCATCCTATCCCAGCAGAAGTCCTTTCCAGAAAGGATAAGAGAAAGCCAGCTTCCTGCTGAAATTGCTAACTGCACAGAGATAAGCAAATGCTTGAGTTGCTTAAAAGAAGGAATGTCAAGAAGAGGACATCCTTTTTTTTTCTTGTTTAAGGATAAAAAGGTAAAGGGAAAAGAGACCTGAAACTTAACGTGAGTCCACTTTCTGAAGATCAACACAGAAGTCCTTCCACAGGGCAATCCGGGATAAACATCTGGCCCTGTGACCTTGGGCAGTTCCTCAGCTTTTCTAGGGACCAGGTCTCTATCTGTGAAATCTGTGAGTGGGATTAGCAATGTACCACATCTTCCCACCCCCTTGCTGGAAGGACCCATGAAGGCAAGGCATTGTGTTTGGTTAGCATCAAGACTGGCCCATGGGAAATATTGTGCTGGGAGCCAGTACACAAAGAAACACAAGTGCCCCATGTCCGCGGGTTTCATGGGGGGAGTGGGTGGGGGAGGGGAGAAGAAGCGATAAGAACACAAATAATAATAACAATAATAAGGTGGAGGGTGTGGGGAGGCAGGAGAAGACCCGAGGCTGAGCTGGGAGTCAGGAGGAAAGCCTGATGGAGCAGCAGGGTTAGGGCTCAGGTGTGGACCCCCAAGATGCCCAGTCTACAAAGATGATTTCCCACCATCTTTTAAAAAACACCTTGGGCCAGGAATGATGGCTTATGCTTATAATCCCAGCACTTTGGGCAGCTGAGGCGGCAGAATTGCTTGAGCCCAAGAGTTTGAGACCATCCTAGGCAACCTAGTGAGACCTTGTCTCTCCAAAAAAAATCAAGAATGTAGCTGGGTGTGGTGGCACATGCTGTAGTCCCAGCTACTTGGGAGGCTGAGGTGAAAAGATGACCTGAGCCCAGGAGGTCAAGGCTGCAGTGATCATGCCACCACACTCCAGCCTGGGTGACAGAGTGAGTCTCTGACTCTAAGTAAATAAAAATAAAAACCGACTTCGTTCCCTTAGCTGATCGCAACACCCTCTCGTCTTGGAAACTGCACACCCGCGCACCACACTTCCCTCCCTGGTGCCCTCCTTCCGAGTGCCCTACCTAAGTGCTAAGCAGCACCCACTCCGATCACTCTAGCCCCTCCCGCCTTGCTTCTGCAGAGCACTTAAACCATCCCCGGACATACCCTGTGCACATTTGCCTACTGGAAATCTCCTCCCACCGAATACAAGCGCCGTGGAAACAGGGGCTACGGTTGTCCCCTCTGCCGCCACATCCCTGGCAGCTATAACAGCACCTGGCATGGAATAGATGCTCAAGAAATGAGACCCAGGCCAGGCGCGGTGGCTCAAGCCTGTAATCCCAGCACTTTGGGAGGCTGAGGCAAGAGGACTGCCTGAGCCCAGGGGTTGGACCAGCCTGAGCAACTTGGGGAGACCTCATCTCTACAACACATCAAAAAATTAGCTGGGCATGGTAGTGCGTGCAGGTAGTTCTAGCTACTTGGAAGGCTGAGGGGAAAGGATCGCAGTCAATGCTGGTGTGGCTGTGAGCCTGCCACTACACTCCAGCCAGGGTGACGGAGTGAGACTTCAACTCAAAAAGAAAAGAAAAGAAATGCAGCCCAGCGAATGGACAACAATGATTGGAAGAACTCGATCCACGTTCCCAGCTAAGGAACACCCCCCCCAGCACCTGGCTCACTCTGTGGGGGCTCTGGAACGACCAGCTCTCCAGTCGCGGTTATTCCCACCACGCCAACAGGAAAACGGAGTTGTGGGGTGTCTCAAGGTCAAACGTTATAGAGGCAGAAGCAGGTGCAGACTATGCCAGCGTCAATGTCTGTACCTCATGCTACAGTCCCCGGCCTCCCCCATGCAGGAGGCCAGAGTTGTCACCATCACTGGGCCCATCACCCTGCTGATCTCAGGATATTTCCCCCAGCAATGTCAAGGTGTCCAGGCCTTTATCCCCCCCAAGCCAGTGTCCCTCTCTCTTGCCCCCTCTCCCCACACCCCTGAAATGGGTGCCAATTTTCATACTCTCCCATTCAGGAGGGCACCGCCTTTCAGCTCCTGAAACTGACCATCAAATTCAACAAGCGACCAAAGTGTCGCCATTCTGGGATGAGTCACCTCAAGCCTGACTGAAATATTTATTTCAGCAACAATTTCAATTTGCAGCTTTAAGTCAAGAGTTCCCATTTCCCTCCCAGAGAGGGAACCCTCTCGTAACAGCCAATGGGCTCAAAAACCATTTCCATGATGGGCTGTCCTAAATGCCTGACCATCACAAAAGTTCCTGGAAACTCTATCTGGTCTTTTAGAACTGGAGACCAGAAGAGGGTCAAGGGTCATGGGGTACAGAAAACACAAAATGTTCTGGTTTCGCTGCAGGTTTGATCCTATTTCCCACCAATGATGCCATCTGGAAATCAGGAGATGTCCAATGCTGTCTCCCCTAAAAGGGACGCCTATTAGAGGTGCAGAAATAACAACAGCCCAGGCCCAAGAGACAGGCGTTCCTCGGCTGCACTGAGTCATGAGGATATTGCTATTATGAACACACAAATGGAGTCTATAGAGACACAAAGTAAACAGCCATATCTCCGCCGGCCATCTTCCATACATGTTTACATAATAACAACTTCCACAAACCCGACACAGCCTCCACCACTTAAGTATTTTACAGACAAAAGTCATCTTGACACAGTTCATGAGAGTGGAGATGGAGCAGACAGCATCACAACCTGATGGGAAACTGAGTCAGTGGGAAGCCAAATGAACTGAGGACCAACACGCATTCAGTATTTATGGCGACGAGGCAAGGTGCTTTACGGACACCTTTTTTTTTTTTTAATTTTTATAGAGACAGTCTCCCTATGTTGCCCAGGCTGGTCCTGAACTCCTAACCTCAAGTGATCCTCCCCCCCCTCGGCCTCCCAAAGTGCTGGGATTACAGCTGTGAGCCATGGCATCCGGCCCAAGATACCACCTTTTCAATGGCAAACCATTAGTTGGTATTATTATTATTTCCACTGTCCAGAGGAGTAAACTGAGTCTCAAAAAGAGGAAGCAACCTGCCCAATCTCTCCAATCTGCTTGCTCTGCATCTGTGCTGTTTTACAGTGGCCTGTCTTGGACTCTCACTGCCCCCAGCAACTGAGAAGGTGGACAGAGGAACTTCAGCTCACGACAGAACACTTGGCCCTGATGCCTGATGCCGGAGGCCACATTCCATCTTCTGGGGAGACCAGCAGAGGCAAGACAGGGTTGAAGGCGACTTGCCGCTGGCTTTTATTCACAGGAAAGAAATAATTATTAGGTAAGTAAGTCGCGTGTTCCCCAGCTGGAGCGCTCACGGTTTGGGAGAGGTGTTCCAGTGCCCAAAGCTGTAGATTTTCACAAAATTTGAAATTCCAACACCGTGGCTTAGGACTGTGGGAACCTGGGCAAGTCGCTTAACCTCTGGGCTTTTCCATTCTCATCAGCACGGAGATAACACAGTCTCATCGCCCAAGAGTTGTGATAAGATTTTAAGGAGACACGGCATGTCAATGACTAGAGCCCAGTAGGTGTTCAATAAACAATGAATAATCATGGTGCGCCCCTCCCCCATCTTTCCCTGGGCAGAGTACTCAGAACTTCAAACTGAAGACAGACCCTTGTCAGAAAAGCCTTTTGTCTAGCAGCCAAGTTTCTTCCCACCCCAGAGTCTATCGGATCCAGAAGTTCCTGGGCCCGCCCCCTCAGCACCTAACCTGGGGGGCGGGGGAAGGGAGACCGGGAAGGAACGGGCACACCCACTGGGAAGCTTCTCACACTAAAACGCTGTTCTCCACTTGGGGCGGATTAGCCAGCGATACGCAATTAGATCACTGCATTTGTCTCCATCGCTGCAAT